TGTGTGTGTGTGTGTGTGTGTGTGTGTGTGTGTGTGTGTGTGTGTGTGTGTGTGTGTGTGTGTGTCAGCCCTCCCGATCTGTGAAATGGCAGCAACACGAAGAGCAGAGGCGGTGACGGTGTGTGTGTGTGAGGTGGTGACGACGCCCATCGGGCCCTGTGTCCCTGCTATTAATCGAGTCAAAATCTGTATTTGCTCAGTCGTGCGAGATCAAACATCTTAATCGTTTATTAGAAAGCACTGAATAACAACACAGACATACACAATATTCACATGAAAATTTGAAGAAAAGAAGCAATATCATTTCTTAAGTCGCAATAGGGCTTATCAGTACACTGAAAAAACACTGACGTGTGGAAATGGAGCAAGATGCAAACACTGTTTAGTGCAATACTGATTTATTGTATAGCTTTTTGTTCTGGGGGTGTGTACATAATGTTACAATGTGAATAGGTGACGCTGCATTGAACACCCAGTTATATTACTCAATTGTCTGTGCTTCTTCCACTCAAGACAATAAACGGTTGTAACCAGGCTTCATTCTGCTAGGTTCATTACCTCACTGTTGACTCTTCTGCTTCCATACTGTAGCCATAATTTTATGGGCCAGCCATGTCTCCTCATGCATGTTTGTGCAGACAGTAGGTCTGTCCACAATTAAAAGTATTCCATTCAAAAAAAAAAAAGAAGAAGTCATTACCCATAACTGAGACATTCCTTGTCCACAGATCCACATTGGGCAATTCCTACAGCCACATCTTGGGCGATCGTGGCTAAAGAGTTGGGAGTTTGCCTTGTAATCGGAAGGTTGCCGTTCGAGCCCCAGCTCAGACAGTCTCGGTCGTTGTGTCCTTGGGCAAGACACTTCGCCTACTGGTGTTGGCCAGAATATGGCCAACACCAGGCGCGATATGGCAGCCTCGCTTCTGTCAGTCTGCCCCACGGCAGCTGTGGCTACAACTGTAGCTTACCTCCACCAGTGTGTGAATGGGTGGATGACTGGGTGTGTAAAGCGCTTTGGGGTCCCTAGGGGGGACTAGTAAAAGCGCTATACAAATACAGGCCATTTACCATTACTCTCTGGACCCCATATATCTTTAATTTTAGTTTGGTCTCAGTAGTTTAACAACATGTGGACCCGCGTTATGATGCCTGCTCAGTGCCACATGGCCCTCAGACACCATTATTAGCTCTCTTGCAAGTATAATGAAGCATTTAGAGCCAAAACTATTCCCCTCAGAAGATAAAGTAAGACAGTAAATGTTTACATTACAGTGATTTTGTTGATATGACCATTTAAAGCTGATACCTTTGCTGATGTTTGTATCTCTTTGCTAAGATAATTGCTCACGCTCCTACCCTACCTAGAGTAAATAGTATCAACTTCACAGCAAGCTGTAAACACAAGAAGCCAAAAAAGGTTTTAAATATCACTTTTTTAAAACATCTCGTCAGTGTCCTATGTCATTATATATCTGTGTGTTCTGTCCAGTGTATGTATGTGTACAGTGCATTTTTCTCTTTCATCACTGGGTTCAGGACATACATGCTGACATTCTGTAAAGTGGTGGAAACAGCAGATCATACAGCTCCGTTCTAAAATCCTCCCTTCACATAAAATGAGTTAGCCCTCCCTCCCTCCCCAGGATCAGCAATTTCTTCCAACGTTACCACCAACCCCACAGTTGTACACAGTGCTCACAGACGCTGGACTGCTTAGGGTGGAAAAACTGCACCTGATTCTTAACAGGATTCACATGAATACTGCCTGAAGCAATATATTTTCAGTAAATATGATATTATTTGATTGAGAACATGTCAGCACATACTTTACGTTATGTATTTAGTAAATATTTCGTGTATACAGTAGTTGATCGTATATTCTTGGTTCTTTTTAGACTATTGTAGTACGACACCCAGTGAACACTGAGTCTTTGTACTCTGATGCTCCTGAAACAATCTACCGCTTCCCCTTTATTCCCCTGTTAGTCTGTTTTTAGCTCAGTCTCTGAGCCAGCTGCCTGCTGCTATCAAATGAAAGCAAGCTAATCAGATTGTTAGAAGATCCTGTCCTGGTCTGCCCTTAGGGCATCTTAATGACAAATTGTACACATTACCACAGACATTACTAACCTACTGGCTTTACCACACCACAAACCGCTGCACCACTGCCTTTGAGTAACTGCAGATACCCTTGAGTCAGCTTTACCCAGTCATCAGAGTGCATGTGAATGAATCTATGACTGACCTCCAAATGGTGGCACAGAATAAAATGTGTTATTGTGGCAATAGCTGATGGTGAGTAAAATCTTGGTGATTTAAAAAAACCAGAAGTACCTTCTTCTCCATTTAAGCGTTACGAGACGATTTAAATGAGAATTGACTAGGGTGAAGACAAACTTTTCAGAACTGAACAGAAGAAAATCTATCTCTGCTTCATTCGTTTCTCTCTGATCCACTGCTTTGTATTCTGCCCATGATACAGCAGCAGAGATGCTGATAAGTTGTGATTACCGCCTGCATGCTGAGTTCTGCGTAGCCTCCAGGGAAGCTGCATTGCCTGAGACTTCCAGGAGCTCAGGAGGGGTTTGAGTCTTCAGATCACTTTTTTCCCCTCTCCCCTCTGCAGTCCTGTCTTCGCCATATCCAGCCACAAAAAAGCAGAACATAGAAGAGCAGTCCTTATAGAGCTAGCTTCCTCCCAACAAACATTTCAGCTTTTGTTTGATTTCTTTCTGCAGCCTTCTAGCTAAGACCTGAATGCATAATCTGCTCTCACTGTTTGGTGTTTGTTGATAAAACATATTTTTAGCATGTTTTTCAGGATTTTGAGTGGGTGGATTTGAGCTCAGTGATGAATAATTGTTTGGAAATGATGCAATAGATTAAGAACTGCCTGAGAATGGGTTTACACTGAGTTTGTTGTCATATGCTATGTTGTAAAATAGCCATAGATTCCGTTTTGAATTAAGTTTAAGCATCGTTTTAGATTTAGGTTCAGGTGAACTACAACAGCTAATCTAAAGTCGGTTCGACTTTTTGTCTGATGCAGCATTAATCTCTCCTGTTTTCACTCGTGGGAAAATGAGAAGTGTAAATTGCTGACATTATTTTATGTTAATGTTGTGCACACTTGGAGACTCATGCATAATTAATGCCTATGTCCAAGAATGTGGATAAACATATTTTTTAGCAGTAGTTAATTATCAGGTTCACGAGTGGTTCTGAATCTGCTTTATCCAGCAGAGTAAAGGACCAGAGGGGATAATAGCTGGTTCTCTGTTCCTCTTGAGTTACATGGTTCTGGGCACAAAGGTGTGGTGTATTTCAGGAGGATCATGTAGTGACCAAGATGTTTATGCTTTTAGTGGCTCATCAGGTGGTTGAACGTTATAGAGCAGGGGTCTTGAACTGCAGGCCTCGAGGGCCGGTGTCCTGCAGATTTTAGATCTCACCCTGGGTCAACACACCTGATTCAAATGATTAGTTCATTACCAGGCCTCTGGAGAACTTCAAGACATGTTGAGGAGGTAAATTAACCATTTAAATCAGCTGTGTTGGATCAAGGACACATCTAAAACCTGCAGGACACCGGCCCTCGAGGCCTGGAGTTCGAGACCGCTATTATGGTGGAACCTATGTTAAATCTAGTTTCTTTTCCTTGCAATTTGTTTTCCAGCCTAAAGCATGAAGTGAAAGAGGACTGTTACTGACACACAGCAGTGATACTTTTGTAGTCCAAACTGTACATGTAGCTGACATAGAAAATCCATAACCTTTTGTAGACCTCAACCCAACCCAACTCAACACCAAGATGCCATTTCTTCAGGGGGTTTTTTGGTTTTCAGTTACAAAATAATGTAAATTTTAAATTGGTTTGCAGTGTTTGTTATAATAGGTTGATTTTATTTTTAATGATCAATGAAAAATTTAAACTTATATCTATCTGGATGAGTAAAATTTTGTAAATATGTATTTGTATTGCTGTGACTAACTTCTCTTTAGTTAAGGACAAAATACTTGCTTAAAGTCATAATTAAGGAGAGATGCTAGTGTTTTTCCCTGTAGCTGTCTTTCTGCCTTATTTGCCTTATGATCCCCAACAGCTCAGAATAACTCAGAATGATGTTAGTGTCTTCGCTGACTGAGACAGGATGGGGGAGGTAAGGAGTGAGATGTTCTGCTGCAGAGCAACAGACCAAATCCTGATATGGCGACAGCTTACTGAAGCTATTATTGTAATGGAGGTTTTCTGGGATGGCAGAGCTACTGCTAAGCCTTGCTAAATACAATAGGTCAGACTGCATCTGTGTGGCTTTTGGCTCCTGCAGCTATCCCACCAAACATACACACTCCTATTGAATTTTCCATCTGTTGTAGCACCAAGATTAATCTTTGTATTCT